TGTGTGTGTGTGTGTGTGTGTGTGTGTGTGTGTGTTTGTTTGTGAATGTGTGTGTGTGTGTGTTTATGTGTGGCCAGAGTTTAGAATGGGAAGAAACCATCTCTACTGGCCAGGCCAGGGGTATATTATGTAACTGTTACCTTAAAATTGAGGAAATTAAATAAAATCTCTAAACTGTTTTATTTTTGTAGCAATTTTGCTCAATTTCGTTTGAGTAATACAATCTTCTCTTCCACTCAAAATGTCAGTTTCGGCTCCAAGATTGTAGGGGAGACAACTGGAATCATTTACAACAGCGACATGGATGATTTCTCCACCCCAGGCTTTGTCAACGCTTTCGGAGTTCCTCCATCCTACTTCAACTTCATCAAGCCTGGGAAACGGCCCATGTCTTCCATGAGTCCTTCCATCATTCTTGATGACCAGGGGTCAGTTTGGCTCATCGTTGGCGCAGCGGGGGGAACAAAGATCACCACAACCACAGCTCTGGTGAGAATCCTGATGAAGATTATGTTCAAAGAACTTAATAATAAAGTAAGAGTAATAGTGATAGTTAAAAACGTTTGCTGGTAAAAATTACAGATTTAGATTTTTTCCTGGTCCGGCGGAAGCGATGACTCATTCTCTATCTAAGATCGGCTGTCCTGACGGATAGAATGCTGCATGCGACGATCACACCTGGCGGTCTCCAGACAACGTCTGCAAATCGGACTTGGTATAATTGGCCCATTCGTCATCTCTCTGTTTTATTGGTAACTTGGTCACGTGGCGTTTTGTTCTTCATTTTATTGTCTTCAAACCGGGGTTAGTAAGCATTATATATGTGTATGTGTATATTTTTGGCCTTTGATAGGTGGCTGCCAAACGTAGGATTGATCAAAAAGAAGATAACAACCCGTTTACTTCTGAGATCCCAAATGGAGGGGATGGCAGACTAGGACTAACTGTCGTGAGGCTTAATTAAGATGTTTGAATTATTTACTTTTGAAAGGGGGGGGGGGATATGAATGTCTTTCAGGGAATTATTGTTGGGTATGTGTGTGTGTGTGTGTGTGTGTGTGTGTGTGTGTGTGTGTGTGTGTGTCCACACAAGTATTTCCCTACTTGGTACTCATTTAAAAGTGAAGGGCTCAAGTTGAGTGGTAGGTACACGAACGTTGTCCTTCTTCTCCTCCCTCTGTTACTCCTCCTCTTCCTCCTCCCCTTCCTCCTCCTCCTTTTCATATTTCAGATGACCGGCTTCACACTGTGGTTGGGTGAGGACATAAAGTCTGCCATTGACGCACCTCGCATTCACCATCAGCTACTTCCGGATGAAGTCAGGATCTCACCAACAGCACCCCTGGTGAGTTTCTGTCTGCGCGCGCGCGCGCGCGCGCGCGCGTGTGTGTGTGGGTGTGTGTGTGAGGGGG